AGATCGTGCACCTGGCCTCGCTCTCAGCTCTACACCAACAATCCAGTATAAAACAACGATCCTCCGACAAATATTGCTACTTTAGACTCTCATTGCTCTACTATATCAAGTATTATATCATCGGCTGGTACAACAAAGTGACAGTGTACTTCTCGTGTATCGCTACGTCGTGCATTTATTGCAATCCTTGCCATCATTTTCTCTAATTACTGACAAACTCGTCGTGCGCAAATCCAATCGTACATCCTTCCACTTATTCTCGATTTCAAAGTGGACGATCACCGATTGATAGGACTGATCGTCGGCAGAGAGACCGAGAAATCGTAGGTGCACGGTCTCGAGTCGAGCACGACCGATGAAGGTAAATAATCAAAGAAAAGAAACTGGTGAAAAAGGAGAAGAAAATGCGAGCCTGTCGAGGAACGTTGATTCGAGTCTCTATTTGCAATATCTTTCTTTGTTCTCTCTTAATATTCGCTCAGACATGGCGGTCTGTAGTTTCGCGAGAATCTTTTTCAATCTATTTTACTCGTTTTTCGACGACGATTGAGAAATCGGTCGAAATCCGTCTGTACAGTCCTAGATTGTATATGTTACTTTCGTCAGGATACTATTTAGAAGCTTGAGAGCTAGCAGGTAAAAAAAAAAAAAAAGAAAAAAAAAGAAAAAAAAAAGGAAAAATGAAATTTCTACGGTCACTTCTCTAATCAATCGATAAATCAGAGTGAAACTCAGATTTGGCTCACGAAACTGAGAATAAATTTTAAGAACCGTTCGACAAAACCTAGCGACGATTAGAAAAAAACAAACGAGGTAATCGAAAAAAGAGAGTAAAGGCAAGTTTGCTTCTTCTTTTTTTTCTTTTTTTTTTTGTTTTGTTTATTTTTGTTTGTCTTTTGAGTATCAAAGGAAATGAGAAAAGTTATAAATTGAAGAGTTGTACACCCGAATCGATTCGCATTCTCGAGAAAGCGCTAAGGTATGCTCTATGACGTTCGGTGGGTAGAGAAGCGTTTGAGGGATAACAATTAAAACGAAACGAAAGACAACGAGAAGGAAGAGAAGAGAAAATAGAACAGCGTGAGACGACGGGAGAAAGAGACAAAGGCCTTAAAAATTTCATATAAAATATAAAACGTTGCCGTTTGAAAGGAACAATCATAAAAGAAATGCATCTCCAATTATCGCATCGATAATGATTTTCGCTTGGATTGGTACGTTCGAATGTTAATTCTCCAAATGAATTTGATGAATAACTGATACCGCGAGTCAAAGTATAATTTGAACGACTCCAACGTGACAATTCGTGTAAAACTAAATCGAAAGTCGAATGAAAAGGAACGGAATTTTGACCATATGAAATTTTTAACGCGGAGCGTGTATGAAAGGCAAAAGAACAAAGCCACGCAAGAATAAAAATCAATCATCGAAAAAATGAAAAACCGGGAGGGAACGTAGTGGTAGTAACGAAAAAAATACTGACCTCTGTAAGCCTTTGTTAATGGCAAGCATGGCCTTGCCAGTGCTAAAACAAAACACAAAAAGAACAACGTAAGAAGAGAGATACTCCGGGAACGAGCCAATAAAGTCGGGATAAGAGTCAGTCGCTTCCTTGTGCTTCCATTTTATTTTCTTTCTTTCTTTTTTTCTTTTCTTTTCTTTTTCCTGTCACGGAACTACCATCTATGGTGCCTCTCCGTTTTCTTTTCTCATCGTGGATAACGCAACAGGCGGGGGCAGAAAGACAGATTAAGAAAAAGACAGAGAAAACAAAAGAAACGAAAAAAGAGAGAAAGAGAGAGAGAAGAGAGAGAGAAAAAAAAATTAAGAAAAAATATTTCTAAAGAAAATAAAATGAACGGAGAATGGAGAATCTTTTTTCCGGCGTGATCTTTCTCCCGTTTCTCGAGAGAAGAGGAGAGACAAGGAAGCGTAAAACCAAAGGCTGATGCAGCGACGCGGCGTCGATCGGAAAGAAAACGAAAAAATAGAAACGGAATAGAGGCAAGCGAAAAAGCGAAGCGCATTAATCTACTTTTTTTTTTTTTTTTAATCTTTTTGTTCTTCTCTTTTTTTTTTTTTTTTTTTTTTTTCAACTAAGATACATCTCGAATCTTCGTACGTGTTCGATGCGATTGATCGAACCGTTACACGAGTCTTTCCGTCATCAATCATCGTTACTTGCGTTCGACTGACATGGACATACAGACGGACCTGAAGCATGCTCAATATCCGATTGTTAAAACAAGCGAAATGACACAAGGGAAAGCCTTTATCGTCATCTTCGTTCGTTATATATTACATCATGAATGATAGTTTCAGTCGTCGTGACGCGCGTTACGTTCGCAGAGGCACAGAAGCGCGGAACGAAGGGGAAAGAACGAGAATTCTTTATTTTCGAGATTGTTTTTTTCGCTATCGACGTTTCTCAACTCCATTTTACTTGAATTCGCCGCCAGCCTCGCATCCACGGTAACGTTTATCCGAGGACCACGAACGAGAAATTACTCGGGAATTTCGTGTTACATCGCCTCATTCAGATCATACCATCCGTGCTAAAAGAATAAATAATCGTTTCGACGAGCCAGCTTACCGTGGATCGCGAAGACAAAAGAACCAAGAAAACTTACAGAAATAACAGAACGTTTGTATGTGCCTTGCTCCTCCATATTTCCAGAGTGGTCAAGGATCAGTCTTCTGTCTCTGACGCGCGATCAATTACGATTGTTTTGAGTATTAATAGACTTATATCTAGGTAATTAGTAAATATTATATTTGGAGACCACCTTGTACCACTCGTTTGTTGGGAAAGGAAGATCGGGGAAAAGTGTAGTCTGGAGGAATGGAAATAAAAAAAAGGTCCAAGTAATAGAAGAAATTAGGGAAATAATTGCTAGTGCTAATGATGTGGCAAAGAAAGGCCGAACGACGTTCTATGTACAACTATCAGTGATTTCAAGTACCAGATTGGATTAAACTTCGGTACGCGTGTAGTTTTCTTTACACACTACTATCACTGCGTGTGTGCCATCACTAAAATATTAATATCGGAACATCGATTCTACGATCAATTGAAAGGTTTCCAACGAATGCTCGACTGCAGCTGTTCCGACGTGTTAATTCAGATAGATGTATCTGGTAAAAAAGTGGTGTATAAAATGTTATAATATAATTAATATTGCTTGTAGTGTCGTAGTTACATTCTTTTAATTTACTTGCATCACGGTAAAGCAATTTTCTGTTGCATATTTACTTGCATCATTATTTCCATTATTTTCATAACTATTCGGGCAATAAAAATACAGAGCTGTTCGTGCATAAAATTGTTTTGACAACGTCGTTGCGACCGTTCTTCGCGATGAAACGAAGAGAAACATGAACTGAAATCTCGAATGAGAAGTGTGCACCCAAGAGACGGGCAAAGATGAAACTCCGACCGCGACGAAACATGCTTGCAACGTGAAACGATCGTCCGAACTGGTGAATCCGAGACAAAAGAAAGAAAGAAAGAAAGAAAGAAAGAAAAAAAAAGAGAGAAAAAAAACGACGAGACGAGGTAACAGATCGTATGGTAGATGAGGTGCATAAGGAGGAGCCTGCAGTGTACTCAGATACTTGAACGGTGAGTGCGTAAACAAAGAGGAAAATACAGGCAGCGAATCGATCGACCGATCATTTTTGCAAGTTTCGCTTCGTTCCAACCAACGAGACTCTGATTCGAGTCTCTTGAACTCTCTTCACTCCTTGCCGATCGATCGATAGATCACGCCAAATATGCGCGTTCAGAATCTCTGCTGAACGAGATACAAACTCAAGTAATGGAACGGAAGAAAGGTACTTAATCGGAGAGAGGAAATGAAACAGAATTGAACTGAATGGAAATAGAAGAAAAAGAAGAAGAAGAAGAAGAAGAAGAAGAAGAAG